ATGCTTTAAACGATTATCTTGCGTTATCGGTTATAATATATAATTATGTAAAATAGTTATGTCTTCTTATGTATAGAATTGGTATTTTTTATTTTTACTATCACCACAGTGGAGTGTAGGTTATAAATTATAGAGATAAGATTTTTCGTATTATGCGATTTATACATATATATATTCGTATATGTTAAGGTAAAAAAATAAATTGAAACAATGAATTAAAAATGACATTTTTTTCAAATGCTCTATTTATGGGTACCTTAGTAAAAAAAATGTTTTTTTGTTAAAAACATCGTGCTGTTTTTGGAACGGGTTTCTCTTGATTAACTGTGCCGGTATAGGTTCTTATATTAGGAATTATAATAATTTGCAATATTTATTGCGACCTGGATAATAAAGGCACGTGCACATATTTCGTGACTGCCTCGTGGCGGGGCTACGGACTCTCTGTTCGTTCGTACATTTTTATGTGGCAAGGTGTGAGCAGACGGCTCACCTGATGCCAAATGATCACCGCCGCCTCTACCGCTGGGCATTTACGCCTGTGGGGTCTCAGATGCATCGCGTTCTTTTAAACAGATGAACTCCGATTACCCCCCATTAATCCGACGAAACGCTATTGCACAAATGCTTCCACTTCTCGTCCGTCTTCTGTGTACCTGTCGTAATTTCCCCAGACGGACCATAAAACACACAGTGTAATGACTGTCTCTGTGAAACAGACAAGTTTTTTTTTGTTTAAAACGAAACTTATCCGTTACAATTACGGTTCACCAACTCTACTTCAACACATAGTATTGTACTGGGTACTTAGTATTTTGGGTCTGCCTACTTTATACTGTTGAAAAAAAACAACACATAAATCAAAACTATTTTTTAGTTGATGAATCAGTCTTTATTTTGCAACACTGACATTTATAAATAAATAAATTCTTCACTTTTTTTACAAAATTTAAGATCTTTACAAAAAATATATAGATATCAAATATATATTATTTTATATATTATTTGATATCTGTATATAGTATTCTATGTGAAAAAACCGTTCAATCCTATGTATCTGTAAAGAATTGAGGCTTGATGTGTTTGAATAAGTTTTTGTTTGACCTTAATAGGCGTTTTCGAAGTAGTATTATTAGTAATATTTCGCCGCGCGGTTTGCATCATAATATCTCTATAATACAAAAATGAATCGCTGAATGTGTTGCTAAGCTCAAATCTCGTGAACATGTAAACTGATTTCGTTTATTCTTTTTTATACTATTCCTTGAAGTACGAGGATGGTTCTTACGGAGAGAACATTTTAAAAAAATTGCCTGAAATGGTCTTAAAACAACAATTTTCTATATTCCCGTACAAAAGATTCGTAATCTTCTTCTTATATATAAAAATGAGTTGCTGTTCGTTAGTCTCAGTAAAACTCGAGAACGGCTGGACCGATTTGGCTAATTTTGGTTTTGAAATATTCATGGCAGTCCAGAGAAGGTTTAAACGATGAGAAATTATGGAAAAATTGCTTGGAAAATCGAAACAGCAACAATTTTATTTTCCCATACAAAATGTACCTGTCAACCTGTCAAACGATTTTTGAACGCGTTCTAATTCCTCTAGAAATAATTTATATGGCAAAACAACGTTTGCCGAGTCAGCTAGTAATACTTAAAAGTCAATTTGAACTTTAATACCATACCATAAAGTTTAAGTGTTAGTGGAGCGGTTCCGGGGAGGCAAAACAAGTGAGTGAATGTGATAAAATGTCACTTGAAATGTAAACGTCTCTTTGTTGTGCTACATAGTATAAAACAAAGTCGTCCCGCTGTTTGTCTGTCCCTATGTATGCTTAGATCTTTAAAACTACGCAACGGATCTTGATGCGGTTTTTTTTACTAGATAGAGGGATTCTATAGGAAGGTTCATATGTATAAAACATTGTACCTGTGCGGAGCCGGGGCGGGTCGCTAGTTGTATTATAAATGTAGCTAGTTGTTAAAAATCTTTACAAAAACATTTTATTTTCGTCATTCTCCTGCCCTTATCCCACCTACGTTGGGTCAGCGGTCTTGTGGATCATGGTCTTACGGTATTGGATCTGAGGCCAATCCTCCTCTAAAGCAAACACTTAACTCCGGAACAGTCATTTGTGCGACACAAATACTTGTCCGGTGGGAATCGGGAACCAATCTATTGGCGCCTGCGCCAACGAGTCACCGGTTACACAAAGACGAATATATTTATAGAGTACACATTTTTTCCCCATATGGGGGTCGAAACCGGATGACTCGGTGGTGCAGTTGTTACGCTATTGGCTTCGGTGCCGATGTTCGTGGGTTCGATTCCCACACGGGACAAGTATTTGTTGGACACACAGATTGTTCCGGATGTGGGTGTTGGTTCTCGAGGGGGTTGACGTCAGGCAAGTAGTCGTAAAACACCTAGCTAAAATCACTTACAACATGATAGCGTGTAACATGTTGTGCCGATCCTATCTAAGTGGGATAAGAACAGGAGGATGATAGGGAACGAGACCAGAACATAGCTCGCAAAGACATTTGGCAAGTGATCACCTATATCGCTACGTCATCCCTACAGTAAATTGATATGCTGATATCTGTATAGACAATGCAGGTGCGGATCATGTCATCACACAATTTAGACGTATAAAAAAATAAAGGGCTCAATACGACAATTAAATATTAAATGCTTTATCCTTTCATATTATCATGGTCTGTTCGAGTTAGGAAAATGTGAGATTTTAGTTTTAATTTTCAAAAGATTGACCAGTTTTAAAAATCCCAAATCTGCATCTGAATAATTTCCCTTCGACATTTTCAAAAAATATGAGAGAAATACACACGTTAGTAACTTTAAGTGAGACTGTTTATAATATCAATAATTCATATCGGTGAGTTTGTTTATCAACTTTACGCTTTAAGAGTTGTTCCGTGCGAATTCTTCGCAATTTATCGTAATAATGATTTATGATTGTCAATATATTGCGCCATCTACACTATAAGAGCTTTTAATTTTTTTCCGAAACATTATCTTTATTCTGTTTGTTCATGATTATAATATATTCTATAGCGTAGAATATATAACCTATAAAATCATGTTTGAATCATTACTTGTAATGTAACCAACTGATAAACATCTTTTAACGTCGATTTTAAGAAAGAAGTTTTTAATGAAACAGTCCCGCTTTACCCTTTGGGTACGGAACCCTAAAATAGTTTTTTCCGATGTCGCGGAAACTGTGCATTTTAGGGCAAAAGTAGAGACATTTCGTTATTGTAGAGAATAAAATTTCAGATCTTTTATTTCTCATTAACTTTTTTGTAAAGCTTACCGCTTACGATTTATGTTTCATGTAATGAACAGGTTTTTCTACCTCGGCCAATAACTTATAATTAGTGGTCGCCCAGAGGTCGAAATTCGACAAAAGTTTATACATAGTAGTGTGTGTAATGTATTTTTTTATTGATTTAATGAATTTTTTTGCATAACATTAAAAATAAGTGTATTAGTATTCTGCACTCCTCTATGTAAACTATAAGTGTGGGAAATTTCATTCTCCGCCCGTCCGCACAATTTTCGTAAGAAAGGGTAAAAGTTTTTGCTTTACGTATTAATATATAGATAGAAATTGAATTGATCTATAAAATGCGTCTATCCGTTTTTATAAAGGTTGGCAACACATCTGCAACGAGTGTAGAATAGATGTCTATGGGTGGTAGTAATCCGCCGGTGCTCGTATCAGCTTTTCTTATAGAAAAAGCTTAAGAAATGAAACTTATTAGTGCGATTCGGTTATTGGGCAAGAATCGAAACATGCTTCGATACATGAGAGAAAAAATATGTAGAAAGAAAGCTATACATTACAAAATAAAGTATGGAAGAAAAAGTTTAATCGGAATCTAGTACTTAAATTCCGCACATTTCTGTATCACTATCTGAGTAGTCATCAACGTCATCGTCATTATCACGGACTATTTCCCTTATAAAATAGAACATGAACAGTCATGTTCTATTTTTATAAGGAATCGGGGGGAATACTTTAAATACATACATAATATACCTGTGTATATGTAGGTATTTAAAATATTCCACCGACTGTTATTTTAAAGAAAAATAGGCATTTTATTATCTGTGTAAATAATAAAAATAAAGTTATCGTCTTGAATTATTTATCTTTGCTAAAATAAAATAATTACGACTTAGATAGATTTGGTAATATGTTTTTAAATACATTATGAAAGAAGTTCTTAAATTTTAAAAGAGGAAAATTTATTTCCTTTACAAGCCTTACTTTTCCAACAACAGAATTGACAGATCGCGGTCATTCGAGGTCATTGACATTGTTATTTTTATCTGATACACAGAATAACCGCGTTTCCCTTTTGTGTGGTCCTTCGTCTTTACTCATAAGTTTAGGTAGGTGCTATAATTGCCGACCCTTGGGGGATGTTGGTAACGTAGAGTTCTATATGCAGAGAGTTCAATAATATAAGAGCACAATAGAATAAAATAGAAAGATAAACGTGCGTGCTAGATTTATGTATAATTCTGACGCTAAGCAATCGCAGAGCAGAGGCGAGTGACATATAGACTCAGTAAAAAGAGATAGAAGATAGAATACATTAGTGCCGCGCATGCGCGCGTCGAAAATACACGCGACAGTAGTTACATACGAGTGTGTCAATCTGAAGTACCGACAGGGTGGTACCAAGCGTTCTAAAACTAAGATTTAACAACGTATTTTGTATTTGTTAAGAAATTAAATGATAACATCATTAAATTTAGGATTGTAAAATTTTTTATCGCGAATGCGTGTCGACGCACGTAATTGTGTATGTGAGCGTCACACATACACGACCGTAGGTATGCATTGACGCTGATTATCGGGGCCTTGGCATCTCGTTATGACATTTATAACTGCCGTTTCCAACAAAACTTCTCAATCATATCCTACATATAATTATATTTTACGAATAGATATAACTTAACACATGTTATCCTTCTCAACAGGCGTCGCTATGCAAAGTAATTTAACTGAACCATCGCGAGAGAGTCGAGAAGTAAAAGATGTCCCGAAGATGAGAAAGGTGCCGAAAACGGGTGCAGAGCGCATTCGTGAATATAGAGCTCGAATAAGAGCTCAGAACGCAACCATCCCTGGCCCAGCAAAAAATGTTGAGGGTATGGCAATTCTAACAGCCGCGAAAACTTTCTCTGCAACATCGATTTCCAACGAACCTAAAACAAAAACTCAAGTACGATGGATGCAATATTTTTTCTGTACCAAAAATGCGATTTAAAAATTTTTCACTTATCGCATACCTCCACCAATCAACTAACAGATTAAATATTTAATAAACGGAATACTTTTATGCAAATTTTGTAATTTTGTTTCTTTTGAGACTCTCTCTCTTCACCTCTATCATTGTCAGGTATCATGGCAGGCGCGTTTTCCGGGCCGGTATCACTTGTCTAATGTTTAGGATGCGAACGTTACCCTGTACCTGTACAAGACGGACACTTTGAGCATTGTACGTTACGTACATTACACCTTGGATACGATTATAGATGTACAAGTCAGTTAACGACTGTTGGAGTCGAGAATCTAATACAACGCTCCACTAAACGTCCGTGGCACAGTTGCCAAGGTTTTGGCTTCAGCTTTGGGTTTCGTTTTCCCACAAATATATGTTTGTAAAAACGTCCTTACATGATAATGTTATCCTTAAATCAGGGCAATGTATTTTGAATTATAACAGAAATAACAGATATTGGAAGCTGTCACCCGCGTGTATATATATCCTCATGCGCGTTTTATGCATCATTACCAGATGCGAGTAATGTTTAGCGTTCCCCACCCCATCATCTACGCAACGTTGCACAGTCAATGGTATCGAGAGCATCGCTAGATAAAGAAAGTGTTGTGGATCGCTATGGCGGTTCACCTGATCGTTAGCTCGTTTGCTACCTTCTCCAAGGCAATTTGTATCTTTTTTGTTGACAGCAATGGAGTCGACAATGTCAGCTTTGGACAAGTTCAAGAGGCGTCTGGTCCGCGACATAGCGCGGCGCTTGTACCAAGAGAAGCAGGAGGAGAGCGAAATGTGGTCCCAACTGAACCGGGAGTACGGCTGTGACTGTCACCTGTTGTGGTAAGTTTTAGAGCCACGTAGCCTCGGGTTTACCACATCTGGATAGTACTACCGCCACACGGTAGACCGTTATAAAGATTGATTACTTTAGCTCTTAAAGCCTAGCAACGCTCCTACAAGCCTGATACGGGTCGAGGGATGTTTCGCTTGTATTCGGTCTTTATTTCTAATAATTAGGTGTTTGCCCGGCTTATATTATCTGCGGGTACTAACGTTTGAAAGATTAGTTAATTAGCTACTTGTCTGATTCTATTACTTCACTAATTAAATTCATCTTCTTTATGTCACAACGGCTGTACGTGGCAACATTTTTAATTCGAGTATATTATGTAGTAAAACTGGATATTTGAACTTTTTGATTACCAATAATGTGATACATTTCTAAATGCGCTTTAATTACTTTACATACAAATAGTAATAATAAAAAATTTAACTTAGATTTTTCTACCCCTGCGAAACCGGGGTGAGCAAGCTAGTACATTATTGACTGTTTGTTTGTTTTGTGTCACTTCTGAACAATGCGCCAATTAAAGAGACGGTCACATTATTCATTATGTATTTATTTTGGCGCGCGTTATTTGCTTTACACACTTCAGCGCTTCAACTCAACTACAGCCTATTTACTCTTGCCGAGAAGGCCAATTGTGTAGAATACATAAAATTAGCAAATTAGTAACTGCTGATTGGGAAATCTATTGAAATCTATCGCAAACAGAAATCTTTTATAATAATACTTCACGCCCGGATAGAAATTTATTTGCGAAAATTCATGTAATTAGTACGAGACCTAAATAACATTAATCAAATATGGCGTGATTGAATTTAATATTCATCAATATATAATGGCTTAAACGGCATGCAATGAATTGGCAGTTGGTACGCACTAACAATTCTCGTCGTCAATCAGTTGTCGATAACGTTATTTCTGGGCCGATACGGTTTAGGGGCATTAAAAAAGAGAGCTAATTCCGAAACCTAAAGGGCCGGCAACGCATGTTTAAGTCCTCTGGTGTTGCAAATCGCCATGTATGGCCCGCTTGAATGTATGTCTTCCCGTTGCTTTTAAAGGACCCTAGATTCGCGGTAATCCTCTAGAATTTGTGACGTCATACGTTTTAAAGAAAGTCTACTCGCCTTACAAATTGACGTTTAACATTGTCGTGTCTTATCGTGTCCATTTTCCGATAAAGGGATCACATGAGGGCGTTGACGCTGAAGAAGCTGAAGAGACTGCTGGCAGCCGAGGATCGCGTAGACTACATCACGAGGATAGCTCGTATGACGACCACGGACTGGCTGACCTTCGATATGGTGCTCGTTCACCAGAAAGTGGACGTCATCGGGGAGGTAAGAGTCATAATCAGAATGGATGCCATGGGATCTTATGCTATCCTCGTATTCTTACCTCATGTAACTTTATCGGTTAGGTAAGCGTCATCATCGGAATGAAAGCAAATGGGATACTTGTGTATACTATGTCATCCATGTCGCCAAGTACAAATTCCCTACCGCAGTTAAACCCATCTTACTTTACCTGCATTATCAGAGATTAAAAAAAGTAACTTTATTAAATCTCCAATTGGATGCGTGGCAAAAAAAAAACGGATTATTGTGTATGAAGTGTGGAATGATTTTTTAGTAGAGTAGCGTAGTTACTTCTGGCTCAAATAGGGAAGTACGAGAAGGCGGATATAAAAAAGAAATTATGACTTTTTGACCCGATCTTAGTGAGCTGGTCTTCGAAAAAAACTATATACTATTTTAAAATAATTTCTTTTTAATAATTTGAATATTAACATTTTTTTTTTCATATCTCACAGGACTTGATACTGGCTGGCAAACCGGAGCCTGCAGTTCTTACGCATCTGTTCAATTTAGTTCAAAAGCACAACATCGAGGTTCTGCCACCAAAATTCCGCGTCGAGTACTGGCAAAAGTTAACCAAAGAATATAACACAGAGTAAGCATTTGTTGAGTAACCATTTGATTGTTTGTTTAAGTTTTGTTCGTATGCATTTAGTTGTTGTGGCGTTGGCAAGTATTTTGGTTAAATCTTTAGGCTGCTTTTTTTAGGATGACGAAAATGAACTTTTGAAATATTTGCTTTCATTTTGCTATGCGATATATGCTTGGAATATGGAAGTTGTCGCTTCTATGAAGGAAATCAAATTTTCTTTAAATAGTGTTTGATTTTTTTCGTATTTTACAATGATAGAAACAATCAATTTAAGAAAATGTTATCATCAATATTTTTATTTCGTTTAATCCTCATAAACTGGTTAGTAGATATTGTGAAAAACGAAACTGAGAGTTTATTTATTTATTTAACCTTCATCACCACATCACAAGATAAGGGACGATAACACTTACTAAGTTATACGAAAGTAAAAGTGCCCTGCAAGAGGATTGGCTTGAAATTTTCACTTTTGAAAATAGTTCACAATGATATATTCTAGTAGTCATGTCCGAATGGTTGTAGAGTTTTCCCTCAACTTAGAAAACATGTTACACGAACGCGTCAGTCTTCGCTGTTGCACGAATGGGCAGGTCCGTCTGGGGAAGTACCACGGCCTCAGAAGACCGGCGCGAAGTGGAAGTGTTATACTTCTGCGTTTAGTCTGGTGAGTGAGGTAAACGGGACACACTTAATTAAACGGTAGCACTAATTTATAACTACGGATGTTGCAAATGTCCATTTGCGGTGGTTATTACTTTACATAAGATGAACCGGCAGCATGATTGCCATCGTCTCACATTAAAAAAAAAAACAACATTTTACATTAAAATATGAACTCTGTTTCCTCCTTGTCCTACTGGCATACTTAGTTTGAATTCACGCGAATTTATTACCTATCAATATTATCAAACTATTTACTTTCGATGTCGAAAAACATCTCCACTGTTTTACGTGTTTCCTACGCACTTATTGTGTTTCCATGTTATTTATGATAGTGCATTAATTTACGTCAGCACATGTCATTATTAGTACAACTTAAAATATGCGATGTGGAATAAAAATTTAAATGTAAATGTACTCACATATAAATTAGGTGGGTCCCCCAAATTAATTACGATATTGAACAGATCATCGTGTCGTTAAAAAATTTAAAAAAGGGTTTCCTTTCAACCGTTATGATGACCTTGAACGTCACAGCGGTCGGCACTGTTCGCCGATGCTGCTGCAGCGGCGCTGGTACCAGCTGAAGGAGCTCACCAGGACGAAGATTTACGACTTCTGGCAGAGCTACCGGGGCAACCCGAAGCTCTACGAGAAGGCCAGCGAAAGGAAACCCACCAAGCTGCAGATGCTGATCGCCGAAAAGTAAGCTAGATAAAATAGAGTTAAGATTTTAGCGTTTCATCTGATGTTGAATAGCCTCACTCTTAATAAAAATGACTGTTGTCTTAATTTGTTGATTGACGTAAGATATTTGTAAATATTAATTAAATTTATTAAAATTAATTTGAACGCGATGGCCAAAACACCGCACCACCGCGGCGTTGTTTCGGTTCTCTTCCAACTCCACACGTTGAACAGAGAGCGCAGCTTACTAGATGTACCTATGCCGCTCATCGCCCGCTCACCGTTACGAAATATGTTTCGTATTTATTTAATATTGAGAGTTTTAATTTTATTAGACCTTCGAAAACACGAAACTAAAAATTATATATTCACATATTTCGTATTTATAAATTATTTGTATGTGTTAACAGTTGTTAATTAATTTATTTAAAACATAATTTTAATGTCTTATCTCGTGATTGATTGGTCTATCAGTCCTATACATACAGTGTATAGGACCATCATTCTTTATGGATTGAGTTCAAATCCCTAAATTTTTTGTTGTACTTATTGTTGATTTTCTTATTTGGAAGTATTTCTTAATTACCATTTAATTATTGTTGATTTTTTATTTTCATAAATAATTACAACGAAATATTGTATTTGTTCAAAGTTGAAACAGTTGGAGAACAATCTATCAGTAAATAAACCAACTTTTAGTATTAAAATTTTTTAACGTCATCTATTTTTTTATTAATATATTTAATTGTTCACCCTAAAACGAAAATTTATCTTATACACGAAAAATATTTATTTTATTATTTTTTTATAATTTGTTTATTTCCCAAATTGAGACATTTTATACTATAAAAATAAAATAATTAGTTGGCTAACAAATTAAAAGTGAAAATAATATAAAAAATACAACTCCACTAGATGAGTGGTTTGAACTTGGGACTACAGCTCGTAATATATAAAAAAATGTAATAAAAAAAGTTGTATTCGTAATTTCTGCAAAAATTTTATGAGCCGTTTCTTTAAAATCACAATATAAACCATAAAAACAAAAAATAATAATTGTAAGTAATTTGCCTTTATTAATTTATTTGACTTTAAGATATATTTTTAATCAATTCCTTTTCCATTTAAATAAAAAAATAATCATAAACAGGAAGAAGATTTTCTAAAATTGTTGATTGCTTTCTCATAGTTTATATTTGTTTGTTTATTATTATTCCTATTATATAATATAAAAGTAAAATACAATCATGGTCTATAAAAGATGTTATAGGGATCATCTGTGTACATTTTCGAAAGCCTTCCATGATACTATCGATAGTATCCTACGGCCCATCACTACACACACACTAGGTAAAGAATGACTTGGTCTAGCGGCGCGTCGACAAAACTTTCGTCGACGCTTCGCTTCCTCATACTTCACCACCCAAATTGTTAAAAATTCACTGCATACAGCGCCTTAATGAACACGAAAAAATACGTGAAATAGCGCAAAATCGAAATAAGTTTTCAAAATAATATACGTGTTCCAATTTCAAAAGTTTCGATGTAACAGTATTTATGGCCAGACTATAGTATCATACAACATTTAGCAACATTTTGAATTTGAGTATGTTTGCATCTATTACATTATAGGTTATAGGTATCCTAAAATGTGTGTGTTCGCCCTGGGATTGGCAACTTTTTTTGGAGAACAATAAAGTAACAAATTTAAAAATAAAATATAAAGAAGAAGAAAAAAGTATTTTAGTTATAAATTTTATACAATAAAAAAAAATATTGTAAATAAATTAAGTTCAGCTAAAGATAACACGACATTCATTGTCTGTTAGGCCATAAGAAGTTCGTCGGGTCAGCTAGTATTAGAGCAAGAGCCGAGGGCTGCCAGACATTACTTATTTTCTGAGTAATAAAATATATCGTACAGAGTAGTTAGTGTTAGAGTATACTCTGAAGGTATACATACCTGCTAGCTTGGGCCGGCGGCCAATTCAAAGGTACCAGGTAAAGGTACATAAAAACATCGCTCAATTTTCTTAAGTTCGGAGTGCTCATTTTTATATATATTTTATAAAATTTTACTAGAAATTTAAAATCAATATTGCCTGACAGTCCGCGTCGGCAGTAATTTCCGCCAGACGCTTTAAAGTTTGCGAAAAAATAACGTAACTTTACTTACAGTCTGAGTCTTGATTTTACATATTATGATATTTTAGAAACTATTTCAACACTATTTGCATGCAGCCAGACAAATTGTAGGGGCCAAATATCCGCCAGACATATTTAAAATCTCGCCGTGAGTATGAACGCGCACGTAATGTTTTTGCGGTTTTATATAACAGGCCCATTAAATTAATGTTTTCCATCTTTTCAAATTTCTCAATAATGATTAAACCATATTTTAGTGCTCAATTACAAATTATAAATTTCAGTATGATAGAAATTGTTAACTTATGAGCGGAAAGGTTCTTACTAATATTACAGTTATTTTTTGTTATATCTTAAATCTTTATCCCCTATATATAATCCTAAAGTACGGGCAATGTAAAAAAAAAGATAAAATAAAACCTAGAATTTTCCAACCCACTTAAAAAGCTGCTCGCTTAATAAATATACTGGACTATAAACTGTGTAATCATTTTTGAGCTGCCTTACGATTTTTTTAATAAAGCCGATATATCGAAATATCGATATTTTTCTTCGATATATCGAACTCCGAAAATGGTATATTAAAAAATGTCGATATATCGAAAATTAGATATTTTAAAAATATTAACAGCCCTAACTGAATATTGTACAGAGTATCAGTGTTCGCAACGTAGGCGATTTTCGGGACCCGTGTCGTATTTTTATCTTTTTTTGTACCTGTGAATTGGCCGCCGGCCCAAGCTAGCGGGTATGTTTACCTTGTATACTCTAACAGTACTCTATACAATATATTTTGTTACTAAGAAAAAAATAACGCCTGGCGGCCCTGGGCTCTTGGACCATATATATATATATATATATATATATATATAGAGCATATGTATATATAGCAGTATAATTTATTTTCTGTTTCAATATAAAGCGAATGAAGTTTCACTTCTGCCCTGCGTATTTCTGCCACCCGACACAGTTGTTATATGTATTTGCATTATTAAATTAACATTAAAACTAAAAGCGTTTTTATAATAATTATCTGATCATATCACATTCGCGTGTAAAGCGCGCTTTATATTTATAGTTCATTGTCGCGGACCAAAAAACCTACAAAAGTCGGACATGAACCCTGCGAAAGAGACAAAATAATGTGGAGTTTGGTGTGACTCTTCTTTCGTGCATGTTCGGGGCATAGCGGGACCGTTAACTTCGGTTCGTCGTCCAAGGAATCACCAAATAGAAAGTCGAGTTCGAGTTCGCCCATGTCCGTTCTTCGTTAGACCCGATGATCGGAACATCGATATGAATAAAACCATTTTAAAATAAGTAGCCTACTCTTTTGGTTGAAAAAGGACAAATATCTCACGTTAGATGTATAAGTGTCCGTGCCCATATTAAGGCGCTGTATGCAGTAAAAATAGGTTTTTCAAAAATCTCTGTAACAAAATATGTACATTTTATATCCTCCTCTTCACCACCCAAATAGTAGAAAATTCACTGCATACAACGCCTTAAGAACATTAGTAATAGAACCGCCTTAAGAACATTAGTAATAGAACCGCTTCGTTTCGCTCCGACTGTGTAACTGCACAAACTCTTCGAGAATGTCTAATAACCCACGCGCTCGTAAGTTACGTAAGCTATGTACAAATACGTACCTACTACCTACCAACGTCTATTAATATCACGGCACGTAGCGGGAGCATAGCATGCGTGGCTTGTATTTCTGTCTCTCTCTTTCACACTTTTCTGCGATGTATGGCGTTTTCGACGGCGCATTTAAATGCTTCGTTCTAATCATTGTTTTTTTTTGTAAATAATAACTCAATGGTTCTAATTAATTATGTATTTTATTTGTAATTTCATCGAGAAATAACATGATTTCCAACTTCTATGAAGTAACTTTAAAATTTTGATTGTTATAAGAAAAATACTAAGTTTTTTTGATATAAAAGTGAATATCAATATATTATGGATATTAATTTATTATCCTCATTGTAGCACCCAGGTACATTGTCAAGATTAAGCGCAATGACATTTTATACATATAAACATTTATTTTAACCAAAACCAAACAATTTAACGAAGAAATTTTCATCAATCTACTATATGTATTTGTGTATGATAATTTTGATTGTTTTTTGTTGGACTACTGTGTTCAAAACATGTTCTAGAAAAAATTTATCGATAGAAAAAAAAATGAAATGACTCTCGTGTATTTTAATTCTAGTCCGGTGTATTTAAGGCAGATCTATGAACAAATCGGGATAAAATAAATGTCAGTGATGTAAAATTTTGTAATAAAGGACACTGTTGTTTTCATTTCTCGATCAAAATAATTATTTGCAAATGTTATAGGAAATATCATTATCTGGTTATCAAGCTCGTAACGAGAAGATCGATGCGTCTTTGCTTCTCTTTCATTTGTACTCGGTACGACTGCAACAGCGACAGAACAACCAAAACAGTGATGGCTGCGGCGCGGCGTTTGCTAGTACTGTTACTGTTATCACACCGCGTAGAAAACGTTTTAATTTGTTTATTATTAAAATATATTGTAAATAAATAGATAAGTTGTGATCTTGATGTAAATTTTCTTCGGCTTTAAGCGCACAATCATTGTACTTCAAGAAAAATGTCCAACAAAAAAGAAAGAATTCGTAGGCCAAGGAGATGCTATTGTAGGAGACAAAAACACATGATGGCAGTTATATAGTAAGTGCTTAATTTACATGTATTGATTTGTTAGATATTTAATTTGTATAGATTATAATTATACAAATTAAATATCTAAAAAAATTATATTATATATTATAAAGACGTAATTTTGCCGTCCTTTCACTTAATAATTAAATGCAAACTAGCTGTTTTACATACTC